AATAAAGTTCTTACTGGGTGTCTGCAAAGACCGGACTTAATAATTATTACTGACCATACAATTATTACTAATCCAAAGCACATGACACAGGATACAAACACCAGCTGTGCATTAACACGTCTAAATGATAAATATTCACACACACCTTCATTTCTCTCACACCTAAGATGTCCTAACTGTTAACAGTAAGAAAAAATGTCAAGAAAGGCCAAGTCACTACAGAAACATTACAATACACATCATAGGAGAAAATACAATCCAAGCAATTTTCAACAACCACACTCGTGCATTTCAAACACTTGGGATTTAACGTCAAATTAAGTGCATACTGTACTTTATAATGTTGACAAAATTTCCTCAAAGATGGAAAGTACACAATGTGGGCAAGAAACATGGGTATGTCATGAATACATCATTTCTATCCTTCGTTCCCTTTCAATTCCGCTCTCAACAGACACCCATCATTGAGTATCTTTTATGGGTATATACATATCACTGATCAGTCTTAAGATCAAAATGATCAGAGCGAAAAAGATATAAGCAATAAAGGATCACATTGTCAATGAAGATGGCAATCAATTTCCAAAACTTTCAGCTATTTTTCATCAGTTTGGCACACAGTTTCTCTAAACCATTTTTATCATCAGACAAGTCCTTAATGAGTCATCATTCACCATGAACACAACGCATTTTTGTCAAACATGACTTGTTAAAAGAAAATCAATAACATGTTGTACTCGGTACCTCAGTACAGAAATTTATCATAAAATTCAAAAGAGTATAACACGGCATCAAGTTTCTTTCAAAAATAATAAAAAAAATCTATGTGGTAAAATAGAAACAATGACTTATATCTTCATGGCATTGTCTCAAGTTAAATGTACAGAAAGCTGCACAGCATTTTACTGACTCTTAGTCATAGTTCAAATAATACTGTAAGCTAAGTGTGAATTAAATTAAAATATTTCATCACAATATTCTAAATATTGGTAACCATTAGCACTCCTATGTTAAAACTGGCAATGTGTTGCATTCAGGATGAGACTTGCTGAAAAATGTTATGGATAGATAAATTCCAGTAGCACTTGTTACATCATGAGGTGAGAAGCATAACCAGCCAACAAATTTTAAGAACCCCAGTATACAATTATCACAAAGAGCCCAAGCTGGTACACTTTTAAGTAGTTGAACTTGAAGTACTCAATTTACTTTCATTAATATCCTCTTGGAATTATGTCAGTACAGATTTCAGGAAATGACAAAGATTGTCATAATGATTACAATATCACAAAGCAAATTATAATGATTAGCAAAACTGCATTTTGCAGTAGGCAGTGACATGAAATATTTCAGTCAGTAGAACAATGAAATTTGAGTGTTTTAACACTTCAGAATCAACACTCATCTTCCATTGACAAAGATAGTGAGCCAGTAACAGAAATACTACCAATAATCATATTAAGACATTAGACAAAAGAGGTAAAGAATCACTCTAAGTCTTTAATACAGTGTCATTCCCACTAAGTAGGGCCTGATTCAACCACCAGACAACTTAAAATGGAATGACTCTGAGACAACACTCATGTACTAAATAAAAGGAACTTTCTTCAGGTAACAGCTGCTTTCTTTAAAGGTTTCCGCCTTGATTTGCGTGATTGCCGAGGTTGGGAACTGACAGCGTCAGCTGCAATGGCTGCTGCAGCTTCCAGCACCCATAGGTGTGGAGCAATATTTGTTGGTAATTCGTCCTCAGACTCAACATTTGATGAAGTAGAGGGCGATGAAATCACAGAGGCTGGTGATGAAGGAGGGGTGGAGTATAGGGATCCACCTGCCGAGGATAAAGACTCCACAGAATCTTCTGGGTACTCTGTCAACCGGATTGTGCGGGTAGGTTTGTAGTCTTTCTTAGGCACCCACTCATCATCCACGCTGCAAGGAATAGAAGGTGTCATGATCACTAATAACCCAACAGTACAGGGAGAAAGTAATACACGAAGGTAACTACTTACAAATTTCTAGGAAACCAGCGAAGCAAGATAGAAAGATTACCATCTGCTTCAACACGCTGAGCAATGATCTTAACAAGAGAAAGAAAAATTAAATCATTAGTACATCAAACTCTTTTAAGTTAAAAATTTTGAATGTGTGAAAATTCTCACCTTTGAGTAAAGAGTGACATTGCTGCCAGGCATTCTATCTAGAGTCATTTGTTCTGCTTGGACCACAAGTTGGTACTGAAGGCTCTCCATTATGCCCGCATCAAAGTAATCAAACTGACGTGCTGCAACAGAAGACGGAACACATTATTTACATGATAAGAGGAAGCAATACAAGAATTACAAAGACAAAAGAGTTGGAGCTGGAATGTCTGCTAGTCACACCCTAAATATAGAGATAAGTTCTCAATCTTTTATGCTAAGAATTTTAAGCTACCAATTAAAAGTTCATGAGGTAAGTGCGGTAATGGTAATGCTATGTGCACACATTTCTTTAAAAATTAAAAATAAAAGTAGCTAAAAGAAGCTTGTGAAGTAGGAGGGCAATTACTAGAAGTCTTACCTCTCCCTCCAAGGTGCAAGAAAAACACAACCATAAACCATATTAGTCAGAATTCAAATAGAGTAGAATCAACATTAGTTGCAAGAAGAATAATTTGATAATATGATAATAAAAGATTGACAATAAGCACACACATTAATGTGATAAGATAACAATGGAATAAAAATCAGAAAAGGTAGTGAAAGAAGAACATGTAATGTGTTGAACTTCCGCAAAGTTTTTTTCTTTTTTTCATTTTGTTTAAGCGTAAATTCAGGGGAATCAAGTCAAATGCAGTATAATTAATTCAACTTCAATGAGGGTGATAACGACGCCACGTTCATACAAACTGTTATTACCCGTAACCTATCCTTACACCCTCATGTGAGCATGCCACCATGGAAGGCGGAGCTGACACAGTGCTGAAAGGTCCATGGGTTAAACAAAGTATTTCTCTTACCGGACCAAGGTTGTCTTCTGTAGCGCAACTTCTTTCCGCATCTCTTCGAAAGCTTGTTTGGGGGTGTGTCCAGGCTGCGTCGTGGTGCTGATCCATTGCTTCCAAGCGTTTCTGACTGCTTGAAGTGTGAGTTAACATGTCGCTCGAGCATCAACTGAAAGAAAATTTACACACCAGTCAGAAAAATGCACACAACCTCCAATAGCAAAAAGTATTAAAAGAAAAGTAAAACAAGTCTAGACTGACCTGTGAGCCAAATCTCAACCCACATCCATCCACTATACAGCGGAATGGTTTATTGCCACCATGACTCAGAATATGCCTCTCAAGCCACGAACTTGAACAAGATGTGCGCCCATAAACTTTACAGCCCGTCCAGTGACAAACAAACGAGTCAGTCTTCTGCGTGTTGACATGATCATTCTGGAAAGAATAAAAATAAAGTAAAATTCATAAATCTGCCGCAAGCTAAAATTATAGCATGGAAGTTTTATTTATGATAAAAATGACATATTGATATTACCTGTAGGTGCTCTAAAAGAGAAGAATCACTATCAAATCTCAATGAACAATCAGTCCATAGGCAATTGACAATTGTCTCCTCCCCTTGCGGTTGTGAGCCAGGCTTTGAGACGGTGCGGGCTGGAAACCTAATGGATTTTGGCACCGACAAGATTGGTGATTTAGGTCCCACTGGTGCAGGAGCCAGAAAAGAGGGAGTGGTGGAAGTATTCACAGTTAATTGACCAGACACAGATTCAGCCTGCCCATTTGTAGATATCACAGCCTCAGGCATAACTGATTCAGACACATTTTTTACATTGTCTGTTATTACTCCTGTTCTGGTTTCCATTAATATACATTGTTCCCTAATACCCAAGCAACTTTGAGAAGAAACTGTCCGGTCCACTGGCGTGGTATTGCTCACTGGTTTAGTAGGGGTGGATACGCTGACAATCAAAGGGCTTTCACTAGGTGTAACAAGAGGAGTGCTGGCAACAGCAGGTTGATGGTTCAACTTTGGTGAGGAAGGGGACTCTGAGCAAACAGTCCAATTATCATCCAGTCTATTGCATAGGGCAACTGCAGGTGGTGGTGAGGAAGCTATGGTTATCTCTGATTTTATCTTTTCTGTGATTGTACCATTTTTAAACATAGAGGGTATTGAAATACTTTTCTTGTCATCTGGGTCCAGCTTTGTTTCATTTGGCACAACATCAGGTAATTTTGATGGCAACAGCAGTCCATGAGAGCCCTTCTTCAAAATAAAATCAGTAACTGCCGGACACTTGAAGATAGAATTCATTTTCAAATCCAGCATTTTAGTTCCAATAGGTTCACTTTTAATTAGTTGTCCCATTTTATCTGGTGGTGTTGGAGGGATATTAGACACGCTTCCTTTATTTGCTATTATGGTGGACCGGAATGGTGTAAAACCCATCGTCACTGCCTTTATCAAAGGAATTCTTCTATCATCCACCTTTTTCTTAGGCTTGTAATAATGGGTAATTTTCCCCCTGTGATCCGGTTCAAATGACTGCAGTACTACTGTGTTGCCTTCTGATGCATCCTCTGTCTTCACACAGCACTCCTTCTTTGCACTAATACAGGGCAGTGCGGTTTGAACACACAGGGTGGCGGAGGTAGAGCTTGAGTGTTCCATTTTGTGCTCCACCTTGTGTTCCACTTTGTGCTCCACCTTAAGCTTTTTGCTGCTAATATTGTTGTTGTTGCTGCTACAGTTGTTATTGTTGATGGCGGCATGTCCGTGTCCCCCGCCCTCCAGGTTCCGCTTCACGTTGCAGGTGGCCGTGGTGGGGGCGGCGGGCTGCGACTCGGGCGGCGGCGACACCGACTGCACCAGCTCCTGGTCGCCGCCCCACGCCCAGGTGCCGCCCCCAGCGCCCTGCGGGTCCTGCTTGGGGGCGGAGCAGGAGGGCGTCGCGGGGGCGGCGGAGACGGCGGCGAGGCCGGCGGGCGTCGCCCTGGCGGGAGAGGGTGCCGCCGACGAGTCCTCGCTCGAGACGCTGAACGGCGAGCCGGGGTCGGTGATGTCGCTGTGGCCGCTGGAGCTGGAGTAGTCCGAGCAGCCGTTCACCGCCACTCCGCTGCAACAAGAAGAAGAGGAAGGGGCTGTCAGTGAGGGTCCTCCAGGCTCCAGGTCCTCCGGGACGCAATGGGACAGAACGGGCGCCACGCCTCCGACGGGTAATTAGGCGCCTTCCTCACCCTCCGCCTGCTCCGACGGGTGAGAGGCCGCCCCTCCTGTTCGCGCCTTTCGCTGCACAGGACCCGACCCGATCCGCGGGGAGGAGCAGCCCTCAAGTGTCGCGGGGCTGCGTCTACAAGCCCCCCCCCCCCCCCCCCCAGTTCCGCGGAGAGCGCGCTTAAGTGCCCTACCTGTTCTCCTCTCGGGGAGAGCAAAACAAATCAGCCCTTTTCAGGG